CCCTGGCAGATCCAACTTTCCAACAAGATAATGCCCGACCACATGTTGCAAGAGTCTCAATAGACTTCTTTCAACATAATGATGTCACATTGTTACCATGGCCACCAAGATCTCCCGACTTATCCCCAATTGAGCACGTGTGGGATATGATGGGTAGGAGATTGCTCAATTTGCAACGTCCTCCTCAGACTCTAGAAGCACTTCGAGAGGAGTTGGTGGTTGCCTGGAATGAGATACCACAGGAGGACATTGACCACCTGATCATAAGCATGCCTAGGCGCGTTGGAGAATGCGTAGCACATCAGGGTGCTTCCACACATTATTAAAGGTCAAAGGGCTTTAAAGCAGTGCAATCATTTTGAAATTTTTATCATTTACTTACTATGCTTCATTAAGTACTTATACAAAGTTTTATTAAAATAAAACCATTTAAACTGGGTGTTCGGATCTATATGTCACTTAGTATATATATAACGAATACTTTTTTCCATAGATGGCATTGCTTGCCGAAGTATATTGATGTTTAGCAGGGCATCATTTTTTCTCGCTACGGATTCTGCGTTCTTTGGATCAGCAACACTAGGTCTTCGATTATACTGCTTTGTTTATCATCTTTTCAATTATTAAGCCCCTCGATTTTGAGGTGCGCTCAGTAGTTCGGTTTTTATACGCAAGAAAATACCTTCTGCTGCACGAGCCTTCTTTCTAGCTGCATCGCTCTTCCTCACGACAACTCTTGGCCTCACGTTGTGGCAAAAACACAGACGCAACTGGACAAGTTTTGTTTGAAATAACTGTATATTCGACCCTGACTTAGCACCAGGAGACCTTCATCTTCTTCCAAAACCTGAGAAATTTCTTGGTGGATAGAGCTTGGAGAATGATGACATGCTGAAAGAAACAGTTACTAGCTGTTCCACAGTCAGACGTTTTTTGTCGACGGGGTCCAAACGCTGGTGCCATGATTTGGTAAGTATTTAAATGCTTATGGTGACTACATTAAAAAATAATAACATGTTCATATTTCAGTTTGTGATACAATTTACATTTTGTAACCGCTTAAGATTAGTTAGGCATCATGGAGGAGAGCTCCGAGGAGCAAAGCCCGTTGACGTAGTCTTGGTAAACCTGCTCTTTGCTGATACTATATTGATAAAGCTTACATTTTTCAACCTTCTTAACGGCCGTCCTTGATGTGTTTCAACCCGTTGAAAATAACTGCCCGATTTCTCTGGCATAAACAAACTAAACTGACGCTCTAACTTTGTTTTCGCCCGTATCCTCGCACTGACTCGCATATTTTCAATTTTGTTGCATGCAGATATATTCCACCTTTAACTACACAATTAGAAGTTTCGCTGTAAAACTCCCCGGAAAGAAAAATATATTCGCGAAAAGTTAAACCTTTACAACGCATAACCGTAATAAACAGTTTTCATGTTTGCTCTCGACCCGTAAAACTCCGAAGTTTCCGAACGGAAACTAAGAAATGCGAGTCTATCCGCACAACTTTTCTTGTTAGGGAGATCAGGAGTTGCTTGGGCCCTTTTGCGTGTCCTGACTAGTACTTTGCTTCCCATGTTTTCCATGCAGGTCTGTCTTTGTATGGATAAATGCTGCTTGCTCTGACAAAGATGTCCATTGAGGAGGAACAAAAATAATCTTTTAAATAAAGGAAGCTAGCCTTATTATAATATCGGATTATTGCGACTACTACGGGGATAGTGAGGAAGGTTTACACCAAGCGCTGGTAACAATTTGGCAGTTATTGTCCTTTTAAGCTTCGATTTATTAATCTGGGGCACAAACAATTTTGAAACACTTCTTAAACTAGATAAAAATCTATATACTAGTATAGACCCCTAATTGCCAAACTGTGGAACAATTGGTCTGTCAAGGTTTTACCCAGCTTTACTAGCCTTAGGGTGGATTTTACAATTTAACAAACCATTATTCTGCACCAATAGGGTACGAGTACCAAACAGTCCGTTAAATATACCCAACCAGACTCAAGATCTCTGCGTCAAATTTTTGGCAGCAAATAGCATCAAAGTATTCAAAACAAAACACTGTAAAATATGAAGTGACAGCTTGCCATTGAAATCTTTTCAGTCTATTGAATATTATGAAATTATGTAAAACTGAGCCAAAATTTATAAAAATGCTTGATGTCTGAGTAAAATCTATTTTTTCAGATTAGCTGAAGGTTTTTCCATGTTTACTGCAACTTTTGTAATCCATATGTGATTATATCACCTACTGTGTGCTTATAGTTTATCCTATATTTGCAAACTTGCACTTCCAAACCCTTACATGAAAAAGCCTTTTCACTCAAATTTATGTTAGGTCTTGCATTACAACACATTCATATACTTCTTTCCAGTTCCTCAACGATATTTTAACCCCACTGGTCCTAAACTGTTCAACAGTTTCAACATTCATACATACAATTGCAGTTGCAGTTCTTTGTTTTAATTTCAGAGTATAATCAGTCGCACCATCGATGATGGTACATTCAACATAACCACGTATTTAGGGCTTCGTGCAGATTTAACGTGTACACGACGTCATCATTAGGCGCTCATCTGGCGATGTCCGATTGCGTTCAGGTGCCTTCTGCAGGTACCTCTTCACCACGGTCAGGAGTTGATACCAGCGCGGCTCTCGTTCTTTTTGCTCTAGGCACGGCCATCCTCAATTAATCCCACAAAAAACAAGTCCAAGGCAGAAAAACACACCCGAAGACGAACACCAAAACAAATCTCTACCGCAAATTCGTCAACAACTCAAACAAAAACAACAGATGATTCACCGCCTGGCTTTGACCGTAAATCGTCGTGGAACACGAGACACCACAGAATTATTATAATTATGTCAATACGAGCATAGAACAGTATAGAAAGGGCTATCCAAGGGTAAGACGAGTTCCGAAACCGACCGAATCATGTCAAAAAATGGCTGTGACGTCACCAAAACGTTGACCACCACTGGAAATCACTAGCTAGTTACCATCTGGCGGCGTAACACGTGGAGGACACTGGTGTAGAAACAGCTGATCCTTAAATTCGGTTACGTTAAGTCGTGCATGAGCCCGGCATTATTTTTCAGAAATTACTAATAATTTTAGGTCTATGTCTACAGTAATTGCATTATGCACCTCGGAGATGTAGGGATTAACATGTTTTACACATATCGCTGTTTTAGGATGAGGACGACATATTGTTTTGATTGCTTTGAAGATATTCATTAACCCATAAATTTATAACAAATGATTTTTTTTATTATGATGTAAAGAGAGATGAGGAATTGGTTGGAATACATTTTATATTCTATTTTCTTGCAAATCCGCACAATTCAACAGGTATGTGTAGCTATAATGATCTCATAATATACACACAGTATATTGAACTTAACAAATTTCGAGATTGCCATGAATTAACAAATGAGCAAACCTGCTGCAAAATTTAACAGCTAGAAAATCGGCCTATTATTTCTCCCATTCCCATTCGCTGAGGGGATAACGGATTGTTAAATGTAAACCTATAACATAAATCAAAATACATGAAAGTTGTTCTGTTTTCTCTGTACAAAAGCATCATGTTGAAATCAAAAAGTGGCCTTGTTTATAATACAGTCGAATTTTCACGATTTTATTAAACATTTTAATAGAAATCACTGATATTCTGAGACCTTTGACAGCTTCCGTCAAATTGCATTTCGATAAGGTATTTTCCTATTGGCCCATAATAATAATGTTGATGAAATCGGCCCTTACAGAGTTTTGGTTTTCAACACCTTAAAGTGTTCCTCTGTAACTGGATCTTGTAGTTGTTAAGAAATGTATGAATAAAATAAATAAATGAATAAAAATCGTTTCTTTAAACTCCACATAACATCTGCCGTGGTATGCGGCTGCTTTAGACAAAAATTTAATCAAGAAATACTCCTCAAATCACCTAGTTCTGTTGCCAAAGATCACGAAACGGCTGTCAATAGTTGATTGTCTGTGATCGCGCGAACAGAGGGTATATTACTAAATTGTACAGCGGAGAGCCGACCGATCTGCTACAGTACCAGAATCAGCGCCATCTTGCGGCCACAGTGCTGTTTTCACATTCGCAGTGGTTGATTCTGGTGACGACACCTTGTAGTGTCTTATTTCGCTAGGAAGTTCCTATTTGTATTTTTGTAATTTATATATTTGTACAGAATGTATCGGTAGATACCGATTTCACTACTCCATGATTTCTCAAGTCCTTTTCAAGCGCAGAAGATGCTCGACAGCATCGCGAATAGAACCTGCCGGTCACAAAATATTTGCTATTGGATCCGATAAATACCGATTCCAGTTACTCCATCGTCCAAGTCCTTGGCAAGCGAACAAGATGCTCGTGTGGGGCCTGTGACTCAAAAAAGAGTTGTTCAAAGGATTTGGTGGAATTGCATTAAGAAACCGTTCAGAATGGGTAAAGCTGTTCTCGTACAATTAGTAGGTTAGATAATCCATTCGCCTCCTGTTTTTGGTCATCAGTTATTCGTCTTTATGTCACTGGATACCACAATTTCTCGAGTTGTTACGCAAGTCATTTTTGTCACTCAAACCAATTCACAGTAACAGGCATGATCTGGGCAGAAATCTAAACAAGACCTTATCAATCAGCGGCCCTAACTCACTTCAACTACTGCGACTCCGCTAGTGGACTCTGTCTGACAGAGGCAGATGAATCTCGTGTTCTGAAAGTTCATAACAATTGTTGTAGGTTGACTTGTGGAATCGGGAAGTAGGATCCAGTAATAGATAAAATCAATGTGTGCAAATGGCTTAATACAGAGATTAGACAAAGGCTCCACGCATCTTTACTCACAAACTCTTGAACATACCTCATCTTCCAAATCCTACAAATAAGTTTACTCCTCCTTTATTTACAATGCGATTTGTATGTACAATTTTTTGCCAAATGAATTCAGACCGTACAGCATTAATAAGCTCAAACATAAACCTAAGCTCCTTCTTTGCTTCTCAATCTCCAGCTGGAAGTTTGGTATGCCATCTGTTTCGGAGCTGAGCATCAACAGAGTCATACTGCATTCCTGCATTACAATGTTAGTACGTCCTTCTTAATGATCTGCCTTTTCTTTCCAATCACCTGTGATTATATCTGAATGATGATAGTTCTGTTTGTGGCTTACTTTTCTTAAACTCTTTAATTGCGTTAATTAAACGTGGTGTCGTATATGACCATTCTGCAATGCCTTAGCGTATATTTTTTTAGGGCAATTGTATTTTTTATGACAATTCTGTGGTGCCTTCTTGTATATACATTTTTTGTTCAATTGCATTTTTTGAGATGTTTGAGCAGAATAGCTTGAAACTAGTCTCCCCCGTCCTTATGGACCTTTGGTTTACTTTAAGGACATTTTGTTATTTTTCAATAAAGTCAGTTTTTATTATTACTATCTCTATTATATTGCTGGTGATTTATCTGGTTATATAAACCTTTATAGAACCAAGAAAAGCCCTTGCTGGCAGACTGTTTTACATTCCTGACATCCTAGTAGTGAAGAAGCAACCATAACATTTTGTACTTGAGCTGTAAGTGAGTAAATGTCTGGCAAGTCCGACCCCCAAAATCGAGATCCACCCTGGATGCAAATTATGGACCATTTCCAGTGCATTTACTTATGTTTGAGGATCTTGTTGATGACGTTTCAGGTTTCAATCACTATCTATTTCAAGCTTGAAATTGATTCTGATTCATCTGATGGTAGGCTTCACTGGTTCGCGAATATTTAACCGATATTAGAACCAACCACTTACAGATGCTAACCTATAATGCTTTGCTATTCATCACGAACGAAATAATCCGTGTAATAATTTTCATTCATTAAAATCAGTTCTCGCTCACATGCTCCGGGCAAGCAGTGGGTTATTTTTTAATGGTGAGCATTCGGATATTCTGCCTGACCATTCAAACATTAGCGTTACAAGCCGGAAGTCGGGGTTTTTTCTACAAGTTTCACCAATTATCATTACTCCAAATGTACACTTGGGTTAATGGTCAAGAGTGCCCTTATATTATAGTCATTACTGATATCAGCGATGTCTCTTCTTTTACAGACTGCGATAAGGCATAAAAATAACTGGATACGCTGACAAGTACGTGAGCCAAAGTTACTCCGTGGCAGTTTTCCTTTTTTTTAACCTCTTTAAATTCTCAAGGTTCCTAGAGGCGACCAATTCTCAATATCATTTCAAAAATTCCACGTTCACTTGTCGTCGATGAAGAAACCATCGATTTGCACAGAACAACGTGGTATAATCTCTTTAGACTGGTAGAAGCATAAATAACGTGGTTTGAGTTTGTTCTCTGGATCGCATTTCGCGTGTTTATGAGACAAGCTTTCTTGAATGTATTTTGGATCAAATGATCAAATTTTTAATCGGTTTGGCAGGCAATTATACTTATTTCTCAAGGTTGATATCTCCGGGGTACCTGGGTACGAAGAGTATTATACTTTAATGTAGTTTTCCTTATCAAAACGTGACAAGAGTTTCAATGATATATGAAAATATAATTCTAATAAAATTTGGAATGTAAAATAGAAATACGTATTTCACATTATGTAATAAATTTTTGTTAATATAAGACCAACAACAAAAGAATTATTTTTGAATTTATAATAAATTTCGTTATTTAAACAATTTGTGTGAAATTGTAACCAACTCATTCTTCTCCCATGCCCAAGTTTCCTCTATAGGGCCCATACTCTGTTTGTTATCTCATGTGTGGATATAAAAAACATTGGGCATGTTCGTCTAATTAGCACATTCGATAAATTTTATCTAATTAGCCTCAGTAGAACCTATAAGAACCAAAAAATCATTTAAATAAATATTTGCCGAAGAAAAATATCCTCAGACACACCTATCAGAAGTTATAAGCATCCGGTGTGTATACTGTGAGTTGATCTCACTCTGAAGTGGTGCAAATAGCTTTATGTGGGAACTTTTTCTATGATTTGTCTTTGATCATGAAAACTACTTAATAACTATTATCCAGCTAATTCGAATAGATCAGGAGACAAGCCCATATTTTTTAATTGCATTATTTGTCGCCAATGGTGTGTGTGTTTAGTGCATACCTTTGACTCTTTTGACTACCGTTGCTTACCAAAGTGTCAGCGTTGTATCGATATACTAATAATGCTTGCCTGTGAAAAGCTTTAACTTATTTGGGATTATGGCGCTCTTTACAGGAAGTGTCATATTCCGAAATCGTCTAGCACTAAAATAATCTGCATGCACTCGCACTTCCAAAATGACACGAAACATACGAACTATTAAAATATTATATTTGCCATGCTTTGTAGACTTATTACTTCGTGGTTTATCAACATAATCCAATATTTTTGCTTGCAATTGGTCCGAACTGATAAAACTGGATGTCATGATGACAGCAACAGAGAGAGACGCCACATGGGCAGAACCTTAAATTCATTTTTTGCGCAGGTTACACATGAGAAAGATGCCTTATGCGCGACACCTGCTGCGCTGTGTACCAACTCGCTTCATCGTCGACATGTTTCGCTTTACCCTTACTCCACGTGTTTAACCTCCTAGTCTTTATGCATATAAGTTGACGAAACGGTCTGTTATACGAATCTCCTTCTCTTCGAAATTGTCTGTCAATTTTCTTAAATATATTCCTTTCTCGTACTAAGTTGCCATCTTGGAAATTCCAACTGTCAGGTTGAAACATACAATTCATGGACCTATATCATATTTCCCTTCTGCATGCTAACTTGGGCCCTTCAAAAATAAGTTGTAGGAGGAGTCTTTTTGAAAAGAACTGTACTTTTAAAGCGGCATAGCTTGTCGGTTGTCTACTGAATCCAGTTAAAGTAATGTGAAAGGGTTGATACGTATTTCTAACCATATACATCACTAATATACCTTAGTAAATGAACCATGAGCACGTGTATGTGCGTAATGGGTCCAATTTCTGCTATGCGAGTCCATAGTTTAAAATTAATATCTATTAAATCAACGAATTTTTGAAGGTTTGATTGCGTGATTTGTGGCCATTGTTAGAAAATGCCTGGCAAGGCGCGGGAGCGCAGTCGTTGGAATCGGCTCGGGATAATTGCCCAAATCGATGGTTCGATGCGATCGTTTATTTAAATTTTTACACGGGCAAGGTACCCCCGATTGTTAGTTGGCGGAGAATTTTAATGTGCAGTGTGGGATACGACAAGAAAAACAAACTAAATCGATTATGGTCGGTTTAATAGTGTAATGGAGGAGCTATTTAGTCGATTATGCTAAAATGTAAAGCTGTCTTGAATATCAGAGAGACTCAATAGGCATTTGCTTGGGAATGAATGCGCCATTTGAACTTTCTTGAATTAAGAGTAATATATTTATTTGCCATTTTACACAGTTTGAAAATATACAATATATTTGAAAATTAATATTTTAGCGTTCACATTAGGTGCACACCTTCAAATATTAATTAGTGTACATTCTATCATATTTTTCCATTTTATTTTGTCCCTTGTATACATCCATACAAACGTTTATTATAACTCAATTATCATGCAATTACGATAAAACATACATATTCATTAGCTTATTTTGTTAATTATATAAATTATATATCTGTATGGAAGCTTATACTTTTGGGACATTTATGATGAGTATTAATATTTGGTGTATCTTAAAATATCAACAACAATCAAGTCATTCAGTATTATTCACTCTTACTTATTATCATCATTTATATAGTATTTTTCGTATCAACCTATTGGTGCACTTGGTGTCATATTTTTGATCCAGCTTTTCAGCTTTACTTTAAATAACTCAAAGGAATTAAGTTGCCTCAAATCTTTGCCGTATTATATTATAAGATCTGGACCAACAAATACAAAGTATTATTCTATAGCATATTGCACGCATATATCCAGGTTATTTCCTGATACCTCCACCAAACTGTGAATTATGATTCAGACATATCTAAAAGCTAAAATTGAATTAATGAAGTGTCAAAGAGTTAATTTTACGTTTGAAATTCACGAAATGGAACAAAGGTTTGTAAATTAAGTGATGGTGATTTTTTTATTTTTGTTTTAAAATATACTTACAATTTTATATTGTCGCCTCAAAATAACTATCGACTCTCTCACTTCTGGAAATGTCTTAAACGACCAAAAAATCTGGGCTCTTGAGAAAACACTGTCTCCGTGTGCCTGGTGAAGTTTATCAGTAGTTTCCGTTGTACTGTGCCCAAGTCGAAAGCAAAACCTAATATCACACCGTTGCTCGAATTTGATGTCACTCATTTTTAGAACACAATAGGAAAAGCTATTTCACAAAAAAAAATGATACGGACAACAAAGTGACTCGACCGAGTTCAGACTTGTACTGAAGGGCGATTAAATGTTGCTCTGACTCGTCTCCAAGCCCGGCGCATCGAGTATTGGCAGATCGAACGCTTCGTTGTCAGTCTCATGACTTAATTTACAGACCTGGTAGGTGCAGTAGTTGACTCAGCCAAAAATGGATGGGCGTCAAGTCATCAGGTCACATTAGGTAAGGTGCAACATTCACAATCCCGCAACGCAGGACGTCTACGTTTCAGATGTCGTTTATTCATAGAGCTTCCAGTACCAGTGAATTCAAACACGAGCTTAAGCTCCATCTTTTTGAATCCCAATTGAACTAAGTTTGCTATGTCACCTTTTTTAGGAAATGGACGCTGTCAAATTCATACTCCATTTATGTGTATTCCTATGTTAACTTGTTATTTTTTAACTCCTTTACTTTGTTCACATTTGCCTTTGATTTTTGGTGTTTTGATTGTTATACTTGAGCCTTGCGTTGTTACGTTTTAGCTTCCTTAAGTTTTAGGACTACATACCTTTAGTCGCATATTATATATGACCATTTGCAGTTATATTGTATTTTTTAAGTAATTGTATTTTCTTCTACAATGGTGGTTAAGTTGAATAGCTTCCTCTAGACTCTACCACCTTCATAGACTTTGTTATATAAAGAAAGCTTGTATGTCAGAAAGAAAGCCGGCAATTATTATTATTAC